TAATAGAATTGCCATATTATCCACTTGAACTTCGATCAGAAATATGGACCTGGCCGGATGGTATATATTGGTCAGTCCGAGGTCAGTGATCTTCAGCTCGGAAGAATTTGCTGAGCCATAGATTGTGCAACAAGATAGGCTGATCACATAACAGGTCTGTGCAACATTTTCGCATATTAATTTCGCATACATTCACAATACCTCCAATTTTTCTTTCGACTACTCTGTTATGGCATGATCCATCCCAGCCAAGCCAGAGGGGTTTTTCGAATCAGGCACTCAGGGTAAAGGATCCGCTCCCAAATTCTCATTTAATATCCTACCATTCGGGGATCCATTCAAAGAGTTTGCAAAACTTATTTTGGTGAATTTCTATCCAAAATATATTATCATGTATTTTGTCACTTTTAGACGCTAAATCCCACCTTAGAGATAAATCTTTTGCCTTTTCTATCTCCACTTTTAATTGTTGATATTCGGCTTTATAGTTATCTAGTCGTCTAAATAACTCATAGCGTATGGAATCATGCCAAGCTTGATTAATATCAAGATAGTTCACTAAATCGTATACTGAAAGGTTTGCGACTATAATTGATATTATTTCTGGGCACTCGAGAGGATTATATGTATACATGGTAATGCTAGTCTTAGACAACCTAGTATAATTAATAATCTGAATTCTCCAATCCGAATTTGGAGCGGTGCTCACTTCGCTCGAAAGAAGATTTCTTGCTGAACCACAGATTGTGCGACAGAAAAATAAGTGGATCATCAGTCAGGTCTTGTGCAACATATTAATTTTTGCATATAACGAAAGGAAAATATATATGCTGACCAAGTCCCTCTATTTTTTTCCCGAACAAACATGAGAAAAATGTGAAAGGGCGCCTACATGCAACACAGGACCTTCCCTATAAGTAAATAGTGACGACAAAAGTATATGTTATGAAAGGCTGGTGGACTCACAATTTCGAGATCGCCAGGCGTAAAACCAACTATGTCTTTCCGGTAGATCTATATGTGAAAAGGTATGAGGATTCCGTTTACATGTGCTTTCATAGAGCTCTTGGCATCATACGACAATGCTAATCACTA